GGACCATGAACATAAGCAGGAGGGTGCAGTGATACTCCAGCACCCTGCTTTTTGACCATGCCACCGGAGCAGCACACAGAGATCTAAGTTTCAAAGAAGGTGTTTCCCCCCTCCATGCTCAAAGGCATGTCCCAACCCTTTTCCTCTCATGTCCCCCCCCTCCCCTGCCTGCCCCTGGGGTGCGGGGGGCAGAAATGGGAACTCCTGCTTACTCTAGCCCAGCATTGAGACAGCAGCAACAGTGGGCAGGTGCACTCCTTGTCCCTGCCTGCTCCCCCTAGGTGTTCCCTGCCAGCCCAAGAGCAGACAGGGGAAACATGCCTCCTGGTCACTGGCACTGCTGCCACAGTCCCCACAGGTGCAGCCCTGGTGCAGCCAGCTAAAAAGGGCAGGAGCTCAGCTCACTCCCAGGATAGCACCTGCCAGTGGCAGACAGGAGTGGGTGGGGAGGGGGAATGGGGAGGGAAGTGATGGGGGTTGTATGTCTGAGCACAGAAGGGAAGGGAGTGGGGGTAATGCTTACCTTCCTTGGGGCTTAGAGTTGCAGGACCAGCTGCTGAGGGCTTGCCTCCTGTAGTCGTGGGGAGCAGGAGGAGAAGGGTGGGAGTAGGGAGTGCTGCATCCCCCTTTATCAAATCCTGGCTGGATCCACCCCTGGGCACAAGCCTAAGAAATGACCCATTTGCTGCATCCACTTAGACAAATGTCTATATCCTTTCTCTTTTGGATGTGCAAACAATTATTCCTATGCACCTCATTATTCAAAAAGGTAGAAAAGAAATGCAGAATAGGAAAGCTGCTGTTGCATATGAAGTGGACAACTACACTCCCCCCAAAAAAGAGTTTGATTCTGTAACTAAATTTCAATTTGCCTCTTACCTCAGTAATGATACACCATTTAAATTCCACTGAGTCCCCCACACCATTTTATGGCAGCAACTGCAGTGGATTTTCTTCTGTGAGCAATTGCAGGAGATTCTGGCTAGGTCTGAACACAGAATACAGTGTTTGTTTTGCAGTTTTATTTTTCAAATAATGTTAAAAATGAGAGAGAGAGAAAGAGAAATGAAAGGGGAAAAATGTCTGTCCTGCCCAGCAGCCCTCCAGCTGATTCCAATCCTACCTCATTTTCAATTTTGTTTTTTCTACTGCTGTTAACTCTTACTGAGTTGACAGAACAACCAGTCTCCAAGCTGTCACATTAGATAGGTAATAGATAAGGACTAGGGAAGCTAACCAGTCATCCATCCATAGGGTTTCTTGTGAAGCCTCTAATAAAATCTTGAATGAATCACTTGAATGAATAGTCATTTAGTCTCTCTCTCCCTTTCCTGCTTCCCTAGCATAGGACTCGGTGTGCAATTTATGTATAGATAGACTCCACAATAAATAAAGAAGGAGGGTAAAACTAAACCATTTGGAACATGGCCAGAAGCAATGTCAACATCTCTTGACTGATTTCCCAGGGAATTCTTGATCTAAATGTCAGGAGAACATACCCCTGAAGCCAAATCAGGACCAGCCTGATACCAAGGCATGACAAACTGACCTACCTAAGCGAAAAGATTACACTACAGGAAAACTGTAGTAATTTAAGCTTCATAAAAATGCAATGAGATTTAAGTAAAGGGTAGAACTGTTTACTTCAGTAGACAAAGCTGTAGCCTTTATCTCTTTCTGTTATCAGCAGACATTTCTTTGTGGTGTGTTTGAGGTGCTTCACAGTTCCTTGACTGACAGTTGCAATCAGATGCATCCTACCACATTAACTTGATCAAAACCACTGATTTTTGAGTAAGACCATCTTAATTTGCATCTAGGTTGTGCTTATGTGATAATAACTGAGCTAGGATAGGTATGAGGGTTTTATCCACCTGAATGTGACAAAATTGGCTAATTTAAGGAAAAAAAATTGGTAGAACAAGAAACACCTAGAGCAGTGCAAATGAGGAATGACAGGCTAGCATGAGACTGGAAGTACAAGTGACCAACAGCAAAATTGATTATATGTTATCAGCTACCACTGCCAAATGCACAACATGAAACTGTTTATAATACAGGTATAAGCATCTGAGCAGTTACTGGTCATAACAGCTAGCTACATATACAGACTTGGTAACAGGGGCCAGGATATCTATCTATCTACCTAAAGTAGATAGATCAGACCCATCAAGTTTTTAGGGGGAACGTGGTCTTTAGCCTCATTATTTTCTTTTTAATTTTAATCTGAAAATAGATTGACATTTTCATGTGAAGAATTAGATGAGTTTTGAGGAGCGTCATTACTTTTCTCGTAGAATAACATAAAAATATTAGCAGCATTTAAGTCTGAGTTCCCAAACGGTCTTGCACCTAGGAAGTGAAGTTTCATTTTGAAAATAGAACTACAGGGCTCCTAATTCCCTTAAGTGATCTGGACAATTTTAGCCACTGTGCTCATCACTCAAAAGAGCCACTTGAGAGCCATTCCTGCTGAGGTGCCGATCCACAAGTGGTGAAAGCTATGGTTAAAACAAGCTTCCATTTTTAGTGCTTTCCTTTTTGGTGCAGCTTGTGATAGATAAGAATATTGACTAGTTCTAAAAGAGCCAGCTGAGAACAGGGTTATCTGGGGTGCTCACAATCAATAACAAAATTGTAAGTGAAAGAATATGTAGCCCACCGGAAGTCTTTCCTCAGCCAGAGGAAGGAGGATGAAACTGCCAAGAAGAAAACACAGGTTGCTCTTTAAGTATGCTGTGTACAGGAGACAGAGAACAAACTTCAGTCAACTGCACACACCCGCTTTGCTTCTGCAGCATAGGTTCATTCCTTCCGATAAAGTTCTGTGTACAGTTGTAACTATTTTTTAAATGAGGAAATCTCTACTATGTGTGAGAACCTGGAAAACTACCTTTCTTAATTTGTTATTTTACTTTTAAATGTAATCTCTTTTTCATCCGTGTATTTTGTCCTAGCCACCTGCGGGGGGTTCAGGGTTAATAGTGTGGTCGGGGGTAGAAAGGTAAGAAACGTTTATTGACTTAACAAACACACAACTGTGTATAAATAACAAAACAAGGACAGACACTAATAATTTGCGTTGGCAACTTATCGGCAGTCCCCTCTGATGCCTGATGTATGATAAGTTTCTCTTCTGCAAAGCTCAGTGAAGTCAGGTGTCCCTGATCAGTGCTGTCCTAGGGGTACCGGAAAGGACCCTGGTATTCAGTCCTTGGGCTCCTTGAGATCCACGGGCCCACTGAATCCAGGCCAGCAGCTAATGTTAAATCAGGAGCTTCTTTTACTAAGCTGCATCTTCCTTCTAAATGATTTCCAGATGTGCCAGCCAATTTATAACTTCTGAGCTAGGCTGATAACTTACAGCCATACAGATTCTCCCACTGCAATCTTTCTTTAGGACTGACCAATAGCAGTACAAGCCTTGCATTCTTTTGATAAGGTTAATTTTTACTACACTACAGGGCCTACTACCACTTCTACAAGGCTTTGCTAAATTTATTAGGCCTCATACTACATACAAGGCCTCACTACATCTTTGACCTTAATTAGGCTCTAACAACAACATATAGCTTAATATCTGAACAAATGACAGAAAAAGACTTGGTCTAATCTTCACAGAGCCTTCAGCAAGCACCTTTATCACACAGACATAATTTTCAGCTGTCATATATTTCAGTGGTGTTTTGGGAGGTTACCAGTGTTCCCACAACCACACAGGAGTTGAGTCCAATTAATAACGTTATTCAACAGCTTACTCTACTTTCATGCCCAGTCTAGTCCCACTCCATTCTCTCATCCCCTCATTCTTAGAAACCCTCTTGGCCAGATCTGCCACATTTGTCCATGCTGAATAGTACTTGACTCCTTAAATATTCCCACAGAAATTAATGGGGTTGTACACCGAAAGTAGTAGTATCTGGTTTTATGAGCTTGAAACCTTCTACAAGTTCACTTTAGCTGGAATTAGCTATGTATAAAGTATCATACTTGTGAGGTAATTCCAATCCCTTGTCCCCTTTGTGGTTTAACCCTATCCCTATCAAATCCCAAATACAAGCACTCCTGAACGTGGGGAACCTGGACCTGAACTTTACTACTTGAATGTATCTCATCTCAATATGCAGTGGCTTTCTATCCATGACACCATCCAAGATTCTTCATTCAAACTGTCTCTAAAAATGACATGCATTTTAAATTAAATGACAGGCATTTTAATGTTTTGTTCAGAAGAGAAAGAAGAGGCACTCTAAGGCTCAACTGCATCAATTGTTTCCCTAAAGTGAAGTTGGCACCAACAGTATGTTTGTACTTTTTATGTATACTTTTATAAGAACATCATGTTGCTGCATGAATGATAGAAGCAACAAGAAAATCTTATAACTCTAACTAAGCCTTGGGTTAATGTTCCTGAAGGAACTGTAGAAGCAGTAATAGTAGTGGCAGAGAGGCTTTCTCTCATGATCCCCAAACTTTCTTTCTGATTATTGTGTAATTCTCATCTTTGCTCGAGTCTAGAAGCTTATGGAAACAATTTGATCTGCAGATCAAAGAAATCAGATGTATGCAGCATAGAGCAACTCTTTGTTTTGCCAAGTAAATTTTGTATTTGTGAAAATTGCTAGTTACACTGTCCTTAAAGTGAAGCCTTCAGTTCAGCCACAGATAAAGTGCATTGTGGGAAGAGACTGTGCAAGCTAATTCATACCATCTCAAACCTAATTAAGAATAACATCTCTGAAAATGAAAGGATAATTCAGTCTCTGTACCTGTTCTTTTCTTGATCTCTGTGATGGAAGTGCCAATAAGACTGTTAGTCACAATGCAGGTTTTTGTGATATAGTTAACTCTACAGATAATAGGTTGGATTTCAACTGTTGAAAAAGCTAGAAAATATCTTCCATACAGTAATGGAAGAGGAAAGGTTGGAGAACTTCAAGTAATAAAGTTGCTTAGATGTGTCATGAAATTAAATCTCTGCCCTTCCTCCTTCCTTTCAGTGAGTGCAGATGGTCCTGAATGCAAATGGGGAAGGACATCGGAACTCCATACAGAGGATCCAAGACACCACAGGGTAAGGATTTCATTAGGGACTCCCTGTAGCCACATGCCCAGAAAGGACTGGATAGAAGACAGTATGCAAAGAATATACCCTTGGGTGAAGGAACCCAGAGTCCTAATTCCCTGCAGCCTGAGAAGCCTACTGCAGATCTGACATTTAAGAAGATAGTGTCGTGTATGTAACATAGGATTATGTGTTAATGTGAGGCTAGGAGGATGATAGGTCTTTGGAGTCACTCTAAAAGGTTGTGAATGGCATGACCTGAAAAGGCCTTACCCAGTGCACTGACAAAAATGGAGCCATGCAGTCCCAACCATGCTGCTTGCTGACTGTGTTATGAAGAAGTGAAGCAAATGCCTTGAAACAATGAACTCAAGAAAGAAACCAGTCAATTTTCCTTTGTTTTTGAAGAGCCAATGTCTTTCGCACTCCTTTTTTTGGGTCCCTTATAGCAGGGCTCTAGAAGAGGTAGAAACAGGGAAAAAAACAAGGAAACATCTTCTCATGCTAACCAAAACTCTGAATATGATGATAAGATTCTCTCTATGTATCATACAAAATCCTTTACACCAGTGGATTGTGATTGAGAGTGTTACATTACACTTACTTTGCACTGGTATATATATGTATGGTCCAGAGTCACAAGGACCATCTATCTCCTGGCCAAAGGGAAGGCACTCTAGTTAAGAATCTATTCATGCTTCTGCACCTTCCCAAACTCCTCTTCAGCTCTCGGTCTCTCTAATAGTCAGAGGAACTGTTCAATCCAGTGTAATCTGGCAAGAATAATATAACTAATTTTGAATCTTTCTACATCTCTGATAATGAATGTATGTACGGATACTTCAATTCCTGTGCATGTCATTTTAACCTGCTTTAAAATGTAATAACATTTCAAATTTTAAAAAAGGAGAGATTCTATATATAATGCATTCAAGGGTCAAAAGCCCCTGGAAAGCTCTTGCTTGGCACTTTGATACATTTTTAACCTGGTTTGTTCAAGTCTTTGTTTCTATACATGCTCCTGCAAAAGTAATCTTCCTAGAATAAAACTAGCAATTAGCATGCCCTGATTTTAGTATTAACTTGCAGGGGAGAGAGGGTCACTTTTGGTTGGGTGATGTGAAGGGAAATCTGAGAGGGAGGGGTTGTTTTGGGAGAGTTATTTTGGGGGAGGGAAGCAAGGGGAGATCTTGTAGCTTCATTGGTTCCTTCCCAAGGTAGAAGCAAACCAAATTTCTCAGCAGCTCAATGTCTAATTTCATCAGTTTTTACTGGTTTGAGCTTCATCGTGATCCTACCATGGGCCAAACTTTAGTGAACTCAGTAACCTGAACTGTGTTTGCTGGTGTCCAAATCTCTGGCCGACACTTTGCAGGCACTCTAGACTGACAATGTACTGAAGGAACTTTTACGTCAATCCCAGTACCTGTTAGCCAATAAAGTTTACTTGGCAGTTCCCAGAACATGGGATGGCCGCCACTTTCTAAAACAGTGATTTTCAACCAGGGTGCCAGGACACGCTAGGGTTGCCTTGGGACCCTCTGAAGGGTGCGGCAAGATGTGAGGAGATAAACCAGATGTGAGGAGGTAAGTGCAGGCTCACACTCAGGGGCAGATCCAGGAGAGGTGCACTGCTACACATGCACACCCCCCACACTTTGATTCCTAATTCCCCCAAAGCTTAAAATAAACCTCCTTGCAGTGACAGCAGCATTTCAAGTCAGGCAGTGCTGAGGGAGTTACTTGACTTCATGGCTCATTATAACCTACCTGATCCCTTCTAACCTCTTCATTCCACAGGTGTTAATGACCCTCTCTCCTTTGTCATGATCTTGATGCTCCACTAATCAAGGTAGCCTTTTTTCTGTAATTCTGCTGTTTGTTTGCTGCTCCTGATAATGAAGCTCCTATTTCACAGCCCTGCAGACTCTTTTTAACTCATTCCAAAGATGTTATATTTGTTTTTGCTTCAATCGAAAACTGAATAATCCAGGCCTGGTCCCCTAGCATATTTGTAAAGCTTCTAGTTTCTTTTTTACCTGGACACCAAAGTGTCTTAAGCCTACTCTACAGTACAGTGTTTTAAGTCTAAGGTGAGGTGCCTTTAGCCTATGGAGGGCTGCCTTGAGTCTATGGCATTGCATCTTAAGTCTAGGGTGCAGTGCCTTGAGTCTAAAAAAACCAGACCCACTGGCCTAGAAGAAGCAGTCTTCAAGTCTGACTCTAACAGTATCTGTCACCAGGTAGGAAATGCGGACTTCCCTTTCCCTTATTTCCTTCCCTCCAGCCCACTGTGGCACCTTGGCTACAGTGTGGTCTCTGCTTGGCTGCTGTTGGTCTCTGGGGTGAACAGGTATCACCAAGCAGCTTGGATTATTTTGTGTGGGGGGGGGGTGTATGTGCATGTGTGTGTGTATATGTGTGTATAATATATGTGTGTGTGTATATATGTATATGCGCGTGTGCATATATGGGTGTGTGTATATATGTGTGTACACATGTATATATGCATGTGTATATGGGTGTGTATGCACGTGTGTATGTGTGT